AGTCTGTTTGTTTTCCTAGCAGTCCATGGTACTCTCAATACTCTTCTCCAGCACCACAGCTCAAAGGCATCAATTCCCCTTCTATCCTGCTTGGTCATTTTCCAACTCTCTGATGCATAACAAGTGATTGCAAAGACCATGGCCTGTATCAGATGCATCTTACTTTTTAATGAGGGAGTCTGTTTTTAAAATAGTTTTAGTCCTTTACTGTGAATTTGAAAATGATAGACGTTTATCAGATAATGACTTTTAACACAGAACATAAACTTCTTGGTGCCCTGGTCGCTAGATCTTGTGGTAGTGTTTATAATTTTGTTGTTATTTTATTCCGCTGGATTAGAAAAGCAATTTGAGATTTGACTGCCGAGGAAAAAAGAAACAGTCATATCTTTGGCTTGAGTTTTGCTCTTCCCTGTGTGGTGCCTCAATGAAAGTAAAGATTTTAAGGGAATAATTTTGTTTTTTGTTAGCCATACCTCCTTTGAAAGTAAGATCAATTATTACAAATATGTATGATTTGAGGGAGAAAAGCTTTTAATTTATATAGTGCTTGTGAGTTTTGAATATGTATTAACATTTGGTATTACACTTAATGTTTGCTTGGCTGTTCATTTAAGAAGAGATACTTCTGGCTATAGAATCGTAGGCTAGCTTGTGTATGTGGTATTTGTACTGTCTGTTGAAGGGAGAGTAGGGAATATAATTGGATAATATCTTTCAGTGCTTCTTCGAAGCTAGTTTGAGGGGGAGGGTGAGAATCCCAAACCTTAACTTTTGTGTTCATAATGAACAGCTAAGGGCATTGAATCCTAAGGCTAAATCTAAGCATATAATTTGGTATTGGGAGACTTTACCAGGCAAAAGAAATATCTTAAATCGTTGATTAGAGGTAAGCATCGAGGCATCTGTAGGGAATTTGAATGTGGCTTGTAGGCTTTAAGTCTTATAAAACTTTATTTGTAATGTCTTTGTCTACTTATTCTTAGTTGCAATAGATCTTTGATCTTTTTCTTCATAAGAAATAGCAGAAGAAAAGGAATCTAGTCAACTCAACATGTAATTGAGCTGAAATAACAAAATATACAAATATGGATGAAGTTAGCAATTGACAAAAGAACAAACAAATCTTGGAGAAAATACAATCAGGGTTCTCCTTAGAGGCAAGGAGAGACAAGAAACTTTTATCTCTCATACTTTGGGAATTTTGCCAGGAAGGGCCAGTCCTTAGAAAAAGGCACAGTTTTGGGTAAGGTGGAGAAAAGGGAAAGAGAGGAAGACCCATAACAAGATGGATTGACTGTGACTATTACAGTGCACTTAAGCATTTCAGAGATGAAGAGAATGGTGTGGGATGGGGCCTAGTTCAAATATGTTGTTCATATGGTAGCTAGCACCAGAAACCTAGTAAAATGAAAATTATATTGCCCCTAAGATGCTGGTAAAAGATTACATTGTAATTAAATCGTTTCTATTAGCAAATTTCCATTTGTTTTATATGTTGGTTATATATCCCCTTTCCAAGTAGCCTATTTATCTTTAAATAAATGAGTGATTGAGGACTGAAGACTGGAAATTGTATTACTGAGACATTTTTTATAACTTTCTTGGTTTCCCCCCCCCCCCCGCCCAATGATTTCCTTTTTGAACTATTGATTTCAGTAGCTTTAAAAAAGCTAGATAAGTTCTTTAAAAAATTACAGTATTTCAAACCAGTTTCTGTCTGGTAAAGTTTTCATAAAGGTTCCTTTTTGTCACTGACTTCTCAGGTGATGCAGATTTCTGCCCCTTCAACACCATGGGGGTGCCATCACTGTACTCATTCCTGTAGTGAATTGGAGGGCTGTATTGATGTCCTGGCCCAAGAGTCTGTGCACTAGGATTGTGTGTCAGGAGGACAAAGGGATGGCGCCATCCATCCTGCTCTGTGCGCCAGTAACTAGAATTAATTACAAACCAATCGAATCCGTTGCAGCCAATTGGTAAACTAATTGGTAATTTTAGCTGTACATCTATATGTAGTTATCTGAATGCCTATAACATTACTTTCAGAGCCACTTTTGTTCTGTTTCATCCTGCTTGACAAAATGGCCTTCATAGCTTTAGGGGGAAAGATGTGCATCAGTGACTATGAGGCTGCTCCAGCTGCTTGTCTTGTTTGTATTCCCTTGTTCATAAAACATGACTCGGGTTACAGCTGCATGGTAGCACGCTGATCATTTCTGATAACGGAGAGCTAAACATTCCTTCAAATAGGTTGTTTAAGCCATCAAATGGACTTTCTCTGTGCCAGCTAGTATCAGAAATATAGCTGCTTATGCTAGTGCCCTGTAGAGCTTTGCTTTCTCCCCCCAGCAGAATAGGGAATCAGTAGAAAACTTCCGAAAGAAATTATTTTGAATTAAGTTTTTCTGCGCCCTAATGTAGGTGATTTACGTTAAATGAATTTAATTAAAGAATTTTAATTATATTAGTAGAATCGAGAGAAGGAAACCAACTAAATTTTTAAATTTGTTCTTTTCCTGATTGTAGAAGATTTTTTATTACCCTTGATTTGGCACCAAGAATTACCTTTGAAAGGAAATAAACAATACCTCTTTGTTCAGAAGCGTCTTTTAAAGTAGAATATAACTCTTGTAACTAAAGTAAGGCTGGTGCTATATTTCACTTGTGAATAATTCGGCATGCATTTATTATTTGCCTTGGGTCTAATTTCCAAAAGTGTACTTGTAACTTAAAACACTCATACGTGAAAACTGGTTTTGAAGTCTTTCACAGTTATAAAGTCAGCTAAAGCAAAGCTATAGAAAAGCAATGTATTTATAATGCATAGAATCACTCTTATTGCTAGTTGTAATTTTCAGAAGGTCATTTTCTGGGAATATTGGAAAGTAGCCTATCTAGTGAGACCTCTTTCTAGTGAATAAAATTTTACATTCTTTGTCTTTATGTATGAAATTCCAGCTTTGGCAAATGTGCCAGTACTCACACTCACAGTCACACTTGAGGTCAGTTTCCTCTTTCTGGTTAAAAAAGGACAAAGACTTATTCTACTTACAGTGGAGCTCATGTTTTTACCTTATTTTCTACTAAAATTTTTTTACTCTGTTTAAATACAAAACTGATCAGTGCAAGAAAGTAATCTCTGCCAAATGTGTGAATGTAGCATCACAGTAATGTAATTTTGAATTATCTAAAGGAGAAGATCAGAGTATAGGTAATTATGATGAATATGTACTGTGGTGCATGATGATAAAGTCATCCTAGGTAAGCTGATTTGAAAATGATTTTCTGTCATACTCAGTCAATTTTCGATTTTATCTTATTTTTAGAAGCTCAGTGTCAGTAAGAATGTGGCATTTAGTAATCATATTATTGAAAACTAGTTTTAAGTTATGCTGAGTTGTCTAATATATTTAGCTTTTTATCAACATTTCTTTACATAAGAAATACTGATGAAATAGTAAGCATCCATTCTTTAAATAGATATTTTTTAACAGGTGATAATCTTACATATAGTAATAGAACGGAACATTGACTTCAAAAGGGACTAAACAGCATTATTGGAGGTCTGGTGATGTGGTTTGTTGTGTTATGCTGCTAGCTGGAAGTCTTCATTGGTTTGAATTGAAAATTGGAAGCACTTTGGAGGGTTGTTGTAAGTTGGAATCATCTAGGAGGCGTTGAGTTTGAGGGTTTTTTTAGTCATAAGTCTTTATTTTTTTTTTTACTTTTAATATTTCCATTTGAGATTATTTCCATTTAAAAGGAAATGTTTAAAATGCTGATAAAAAACACTAAAGGAAACAATACCCTATATAGAGGACTTACATTGCTGAAAAGAAATAAAGAAGACTTAAGTAAGTAGTGATCTGGCTACTCATTTACTTCATCTGGTGGTAGGGAATTATGCTTCCAACCCAGAGGCAAGTAGTTTGAATCCACCATCTATTCTATGAGAAAAAGAAGGGCATTTTTCTCTTGTGGAATTTATAGCCTGCGCTGGAGGGTCAGTCAGAAATTTATTTCTGACTCAACAGCACATAACAATAATCATAAATAAATGAAAAGACATCTCTTGTTATGAGTGGAAGACTTAATGTTGTTAATATTCTCAAAACTGTCACCCAACTGAGCTGTCTCACTCTGTCTCTCCTAAAAAGAAAGCAGACTCAATGAATACCCCGAATAGAGAGAACCAGAAGAAATATGTGGATGTAGAGTTAATTCATCAGCTACAGAAAAAGACGTCTCTCTATCTCTCTCTCTTATTTTCCCAGTGCAGGAACCTGGGCACACTAATACAAGCTCATCTTTCTTGGTAGTACCTTTATTTCTCTCTCTTTTTTCCCTCTTACAAGAAAAAAAAGAATTTACGTGGGCCACATGCAAAACTTTTTTTACATCACATCCTAAACCCATTAAAACTGATTGGCTAGAGGTTGATTTTATCATTACAAGACTTCACCTCTTCTTGCCTCTTTAAAATCATAGTGGTTAGGATTTACAACACATAGGATCATTAATTACATATTACTTAGAATAATAACCTAGCCAAATAGACACATTTTTTTAGGGACAGTTCAGGCAATGATAGGTTGTAGCTGGGAGGGGATTTCTGGGGAACCTGAAGGGATTTATGTTACAGTATTTGTCATGAGTGGTTGTTTCATGAAATGTTGTTTTGCAGTTATTACCATATGTTAATGGTTTGTGTGGTTTCTATAATAGGTGTCACAGTAAAAGTTAAAATAATGACTGATTTTTTTAGGAAATGTTAAGAAAGAATATTAATACATATCTCTTGGCCTTTAATCTTTCAGCTCACTAATTTTTAAATTATCTTATTAAACAAGATTAAAACAAATCAGTGCTTTGTGCAGCTGTCTTCATGATGTATATAATGTAAAAATTATAAATCCCCATTCCATTTATTTCAATAGTTTTTCTTGACATTTTTAGTTTCAGAATAGAATCTAACAGTTTTGTTTGTCTTAAACTAGGAGGTGCTAATGATGCTGGATAATTATGTAAGGGATTTCAAAGCATTGATTGACTGGATCCAACTTCAGGAAAAGCTGGAGAAGACAGATGCCCAAAGCAGGTAATGAATTTCTGGTCTTTATACTTACACTGGCTGATTTCAGTAGCAAACACTGAACTTGAACATTGCTTCTCTGAGGTTGTAATATTTAAGTTAAGACAGAAATGGCAGATCGGCGTTAGCTAGGTAAAGAGGGAGGAAAGGAGAAGTTCCAAGTAGAGGTATTGGTATGTGTGATGTCTGGGGGGTGAAAGAGAACAAAGTATAGTCAAGGAATATAGAGTTTAGAGAGTTTGGAGTAAAGAAGACATGAATAAATAGTATGAGAAAAACTTAGAAGGGTAGACCAGATTATATAGCCTTAGACTTTTTTTTTTAAGCCTTAGACTTTTGAGTAATTTTTTTAATCCTTGGGAAATTATTGTATGTATCTGTAAAACTATTCTTTGTATCATCCATCATCATTTATTAACTTAATGGCTACTTAATGAATGCTTATACTGCATTTAGGTACTCGACTAGATGTTGCCTGGAATTGTTGTGCCCTGATGAAGCATTTAGTTTGGTGTTTGTTTGATCTGTACATTAAATGTTCTCAAAAGGAAATATATAGTCTGTAACTGTGAAGAAAAATATGAAGGAAAAAAAAAGTACTGTCTTCTGTAAGTACATGTAACAGGGGAACCAACTTAAGTTTGAATATTTAAGGAAGACTCCCTGGAGGAATAGCTTAGATGACATAGAGCATCGGGTATTGCACTGCCAAGCAGAAGACTGCTCGTCTCCTGTGGTTTGACTATGCTAATGACTCTGTGGGAGAAGTAGGCAAGCCTCAAAAATCTGGTAGGAAGGTACTGTGAGTCGGAACCAACTTGATTGCAGCGTATTTTGAGATTTTTAGTTCTCTGAGGAATTATCTTTTGTGCAGAGACCTGAAGTATGATTGATTTGTGCACACATGGGAGGGGAAGCAAGTGCTACAGGTGGTAAGAAAGGATGTGTAAAAGCCAAAGTATGAGTGAACTAGGTAGGGGACTTGATAAAATGCTACCAATGTGAGAATTTTGCAAACATGCTAAGGATTTTACTCTTTCTCTTTAGAACAGTAGAAAGCAATGGGGGGAGGGGGGAGGGAATTGAAAGAGGAAAAAACATGATTAGAGTCAAAGTGAGTGAAGATTTGAAGGGTTAAGAGGAACTTGAAGCTGCCACAGTAGTTAATGTGAAAGGTTACAGATGGTCCATAGACTAGGGATCGTGGTGTATATGGCCAGAAATGGATTGACTTGAGAGAATTTTAGGAGAAAATATCAGCAATATTAAATGATGATGATGGCTGAAGCAAAGAAAGTATTAAAAAGTTATCTCGTGGACTTAAGTATGTGATCTCAATTCTCCAAGGACAGTAGATAAGGAAAAGAGGTTCACAGAGGAGGAAGAGAGATTGTGACTTTTTAATTCCTTTTCAGATATTCTAAATGGTTCTTGTAAGGTCACTGAGGAATTACAGAAAGATAGTCTATTAGGAGAAACTGCCAGGCTGGCTCTCAAACAGAAGACCAGCCCCCACTGAAAGTTAGAGAGGGGTTTTATCCTGTGACTGGATTCTTTCAGTAGCCGTTCTGAGAGAGGAAGGAAAGGGCTCTGCAGTCCTAATAGTTTTCTCTCATAGTAGAGGAGGAGAATGAGCTGACAAAGGTGACTGAGACTGTATTGCCGGGGATTTAGAGTAGTGAAAAATATTTCAACAGTTTTTCCACAGAGTATTATAGCCTAAATAGTGTTATAGTGTTATTTTATTTAATATTTCATATGCTAAGTTTTATGTTGAGTTCTTGTGTGCCTTTTCAGTCACTCTGTTCTTCCTGACATTCACAGAAAATAGATCTTATTTTTCTTCTCCTTATCCTCCCCTCCCCCCAGTTTACCTTTCTCTTTAAAAAGATGCTTTTATTGTTGCAGTTTTCTCCCTCCCCACCCAAGTCCAGTTTGCTCTGTACCTCTTACTCTGGACTGTTGTCATGTAAATACCTAATCTTACATATTTTTAGACAGTTCTTTTCCTCATCTATTTAAATGCAACATTCATTATTTATCCCCTCTTGTCTCAGTTTCCCCCAACCCACATGTCAGTCCTATTTTATAACAGTGACATTATGCAGTATTTGTCCTTTTATGACTGAGATTTTTCACTCAGCATAGTGTCCTCCAAGATTACCCATTTTGTATAATAGTTTATGAGTTCCTTGTTTTTCAGTGCTGCATAGTATTTCATTATATGAATATACCACAGCTTCTTTATCCACTCATTTGTTGATGAGCACTTGGGTTGCTTCCACATCTTTGCTGTTATGAACAATGCAGCAATAAACATGGGTGTACATATTATGATTTCTTTAGAGTATATCCCAATAGTGCAATTGCTAGGTCAAATGGTACTTCTATCTGCAACTTTTTGAGAAAGCACCATACTATCTTCAAGAGTGATTGCACCATTTTACACTTCCACCAACAGTGAATAAGGGTTCCAAGACCTACATCTAGAATTTATGGAATACTCCAGCACCAACCCAATTGCAAAATGGGCACAGGATATGAATAGACACTTCACCAAAGAAGACATTCAGATGGCGAACAAACACATGAAGAAATGTTGAAAATCTCTAGCTGTAAGAGTGATGCAAATCAAAATAACTATGAGATATCATCTCACCTCAGTAGCAATAGCAAAGTTCAACAGAGTAGCAAACGACAAATGCTGGTGAGGTTGTGGAGGAAATTCTATATTAGAATTGATATATGGAACACTACTTAACCTAGTTGTTGAAAATGACCTTGTAAAAAGAATAATTAAAAGGAAAATATATGTGTCATATCCTGTTAAATGAGAAAGAAGTTTCAGATTATATTTTATACATGTGTAGGTCTATATATTCTTGTGTATATGTATGAATTTGAGAATATGGATAAAAATATACATTTTGTGTATTGTACATACTTTAAAATTTGTTTATGCACACATAAAAATATTTATTGAGAAATCAGAGGCTAGTTTTCACTCTACCTTTTTGATGTATATTTTGATGACTTATTTATCTGAATTTTCTTTTGTTATTAGTTTTTTGATGAGAAAAAATACACTAGATGTCTTGATTAGAATGAATGATAAATCTGAGGTATGAAGATCCAAGAAAAGAGGAAAAATTGTCCGAGCATGTTGTTGTTGTTTGTAAGTGCATGGGTGTGCATATTCTGGTTTCTTTAGGGATAGTTAAGTGCATGGGTGTGTATATTCTGGTTTCTTTAGGGATATGAGTATGACTCATAGCAACCCTATGAACAAAATATCTGAACTCTGCTCTATTCTACATCTTCTTCACACTTCCTGACACACAAAAGCACATTGCAGTAGTCACTGTGTTAATCTACCTGACTGAGGATTTTCCTCTCCTTCTCTGACCCTCCACCCTTCCCAGCATCATGTTCTTCTCCAAGGAATAGCTCCTCCTACTAACATGCTTAAAGTATGTGAGATGAAGTCTCATAATTCTTGCTTCCAAAGAGCACTCGGCTGCACCCTCTCCAAGACATAGCTGTTTGTTCTTATCACATAAAGAAATTGTTCAAAATCCCTAGTTCTAAGAGAGATGCAAATCAAAACAACTATGAGATATTATCTCACCCCAATAAGAATAGCAAAATTTAACAGAACAGCAAACATCAAATGCTGGCGAGCTTGTGGAGAAACTGGAACCCTTATTCACTGTTGGTGGAAGTGTAAAATGGTGCAGCCACTATGGAAGGCTATATGGCGCTTTCTCAAAAAGTTGCAAATAGGAATACCATTTGGCCCAGCAATTCCAATTCTTTTTATTTTCAAGGAGAAGAGTGAATTGGGGGAAAGGGGGTGGGCAGGAAAAAAGGTGCAACAATGAATGACTGGAAACCTTAAGTCGTTGTAAACTTTCATTAGTAATCATAATAACAACAACAACAACAATAAAGACATAGCTGTTTGTTCTCCAGGCTGTCCCCAAGCAGATATATGCACATCCATGTTTATTGTGGCTTTGTTCGCAATAGCAAAGAGCTGGAAACAATCCAAGTCCCCATCAACAAACAAATGGATAGAGAAGCTGTGGTATATTCACACAATGAAATACTATGTAGCATTGAAAAACAAGGAACTCATGAAATATTATGCAAAATGGATGACTCTGGAGGACATTATGCTGAGTGAAATATCTCAGCCACAAAAGCACAAATATTGAGTAGGGCCACTGTTGTAAAACAGAACTGACATCAGGGTTGAGGGAAGATAGAAAAGGAGGGGAGGAATGATGTATATTGCATTGAAACAGAGGGGGGAGAGAACTGTTTAAAAGGGACATATGAATGGGTATTCTTTTCATTACAGAAGTCCAGCGTGAAGGCTGCATAGTGGAGTGAACTTGGGGGGAGGGATTGCATAACAATGAAAGAGTTTTTCTTTTTCTTTAGTGAATTGGGGGAGAGGGGGTGGGCAGGGAGAAAAGTGAAACAATGAATGAATGGAAATCTTAAGTCTTTGTAAACTTTCACTAAAATAATTTAATAATAATAATAGTAATAATAATAATGACATAGCTGTTTGTTCTCTTGTCTGTCAATGGGATGTTCAGTGCTCTTCTCCAACACCGCAGCTCAGAGGCATCAATTATTCTTCTGTCATCCCTATTTATAGGTAGAGAAATTCTTGCTTAGGAAAAACAGTTTTGTAGAAACTGTTTTTCCTGCCATCTGATTGTGGCATGGGGACAGGTGTGTTAGAGATGATGAGGCTGGCGCAGGATGGGGCAAGGTTCAGAATTGTTGTTAATAGGGTTGAAATGAGTCTTAGTCCACTGGATAACACATAACAGCAGCCAACTGATTTGAACTCTGGTGGTGTAGTGGTAGGAAGCTGCTCTGCAATCCCAAAGTCATATAATTTGAATCACCAATTGCTGTACAAGAAAAGGATGGGCAGTCTCCTCTAGTGCAGTTTACTGCCTCTGAAAACCCACTGGATGGTCAGCTATGATTCGTTTCTGACTTGACAGCACACAATGACAGCAACCAACACTAACTGATTAGTTGTGGGACTGGTGAAGGAGCAGGAGACAAGTAAAGTTACCTTATCTAATGTCCCGGCAGAGAGCAATGAAATCTTTATGCTACTACCCCTCACCTTTGTCTATATTCCTTCGTTTCTATTCAGCAAGTTTAAACTTCTCAAGGAGATCAGACATAAATGGTTCAATATAATATCATTGGCTTTCTGATCTTTGGTGGTGGTGATATTTTTACTCTAAAGATGTTGAGGTTTGTAAATCATGTTGAAATGGGTGGGAATGCTTGGATTATCTGTTGTGCTATTTGGTAATATGGTAATTTTCTGTTAATCAGTACTCTAGAGAAAATCATGATGTGGTATGTTTTCACCCACTAAAAATCAAGAGAAAATAAGATCTTGTTTGCCTTATCACTGTTTTAATAAAAAAATATGTATTCAATTGGTAGACCAACTTCATTGGCCTGGGAAGTAAAGAAGATGTCTCCAGGACGCCATGTGATTCAGAGTCCATCAACAGATAGAATAAGTGTAACATCAAATGCTCGGAGAAGCTTAAATTTTGGGTAAGAGAAACTTAAGCATTTTTAGTGTTACGGTAAAATATTCTGTGCTGATTATGTATACTGAACTGAAACAGATGAAGGAGAGAACAGTTTAAAAGTGATATATCATAGCATATTGTGATTATCACAGGAAACCAGAATTAAGGTTGCATAGTGGAGTGCATTTGGGGCAGGGAGGGCAGGGTCAGGGGTGGGGGTGGGGATTGTGTACCAACGAAGAAGTTTATCTTTTGCTTTTCAAAGAGAAGAGTGAACTGGGTGAGCGGGGTAAAGAAAAAAAGTGCTACAATGAATGAATGAAAATCCAAAATCTCTGTAAATGTTCATGAAAATGAATAAAAAACATTGTAATAAAAAAGATTAAATAAATAAATAAATTTTTAAAAATATTCTTTGCTGGTAATATGATAGTATGAAATGAATATTCTACTATAAAAATACCCATGCATACATTTGAAATTATCTGATTAGGTAAAACATCCAAGAGTAAAGTGTAACTTTGAGGAAATGGAATATAGTCAAATACAATTGTTGTTGTGTACCATTGAGTTGAAACCAATTCATAGCATATCCTCCAGTGAGTTTTCAGAGGCAGTGAATTTCATGGGAAAAGATTACCCATCTCTCTGCTGTGGAGCAGCTGGTGAATGAAAACCAAGTGTCTTTGGGATAGCTCAGTGCCTTACTAATTAATTAGTAATACAAATACTAAAGGTAATCATTGTATTTAATGCTAAATGATTGATGACATAAACTGACAATTTCTTTTACAGCAAATATGTATTTATAAACTGTTCTTTAGAATTGCAGTCATGATTACCTCCTTGAACAAATTTATTCCATTTGGTTATATAGTACAAATTATTATCTAACTTTGAATGACTATGGTTAGTAATTAATAGATTTTGTAATTTTCATTGTGACTATAACCAAATTCTGGAATGTCTTTAAATTTTTAAATTATATTTTAAAATGATAAATCATGATATATTGAAAAGGACTAAAAATTTAAATATATAAATATTTTTGGTAAAAAATAATTGTAACCTAACATATTCTTAAGACATACAGTTATTCGTAAGTGAAGAAATAGAATGTTATTGCCAGCACCCCAGAGCTCCTTGTGTGTTTCTTCTCAACAGTCTCCCTGTACCCACCAAGATAACTGATAACATTTTTTGTAATTATTTTGTTGCTTTTCTCTCTGATTTTGCTTCTTGTATATATATCGTTTTTTAAAACAACTATTTTTTTGTGTGTATATATTCTTTTTTATATGCAAACTAATATGGAATAAATGTTTTCGTTTTTTATTTAGTTTTTTCTTTTTTTAATTATTAAATTTTATTAATTTTAATGAACATTTACAAAGATGTTGGGTTTTCATTCATTCATTGTTGCACT